ATCAAAATGGAGCCCACATTTTGATTGAATTTTGAAAGTAGCCCTAGGCTAACGCGTGGGTCACCTTTTTGAGATGACTAGGAAATCTATATTTTATTATATATGTTCATAATTCAGAATCCCATAATCAACGGTCAGGATTTGTTCTTATTAAGTGCGCTGGTGGGCCAAAACATTATATCTACACACTATTATATGTTTCACTTTTATGGAGAAAAAAAGAGTTTTACTATTAATGTTTAGATTGTTCTATTTTAGTTGGCATTTTTAGTTATCTTTTTATAAGTTTCGTATTCATTCAAATACACGCTATAATATATAAATAAAATGAAAGAAAATAACTCACAATTGTTATTGTAATTTAAGCTCGACACATAATTATTAAGGTTATCAGAATCCTAATACTCATGAACAGTTTTTAAATTTTAAATTTATTCACCCTCAACCAGAGGTCTCGAGTTCGAGTTGAAGAAAATTTTGTTGGAGCACCACCCCTAAATGGGTCCTGTTGTGCACGATTCAGATTTAGTCGGAGCTCCAATGTGGGCTCCGGACACCGGGTGGGAAACAAAAAAAAAAAAAAAACTTCCTCTCTTCGGCATCAATTACATGACCTAATTTATTTTTATTTTTAAAAATTGATCTTTCAAAAACTAGTGAATTCAATAGTGTGATAGGAATTTTCATCTACATATCATCATGTCATGAAAGACGAATTAGACTTTGGTGGTAACGAATTCCATAAAAGATTACTCTTTTTCATCACCGATTATACCATACACACAACACTATCTAGAGCATAGAGGGTGGACGTCACTTCTTAATTCTTACAAGAATTATTTACTATCAAATATTGTGTATGTTGAAGACTTAACTAAATTTATATTTACGATAAAAAGATTGTGCGATACGAAATAATACATGTCACGAATTTTGTTGGTGTATTTGGATTGTTTTTATTATTGTCACGACTGAAAATTTGACAAAAGGTTCAAATACAATTTCATTTATGCTGCAATGAGTTGGAGTATCTTACCACACCATTACTCTAAAGGAGCAAAAAGATGTTATAAAGTAGTTTGTCATTTTCTGGCCGTCGCATAGAAAATTCAGACGTACATTTTATGTTTTCAACTAACTATAATATATTCCATTATTAAGCCTCAACAATTGTTCACTAATTAACCCAACTAACTTATGCAATTTGCCATATATAATACTACTATAAATTTTCTCTCTTTCATTATTCACATAGTATGGAAAGGACTTAGACTGAATAACAAAATCAATATATCATTAAATTCATGAGATTGCAAATTATATTATAGTAACTCTTTCAGTGATTTGACACAGAGTTTAAGAAAATAAATATGATAAAAAATAGAATTTCACGATCTTAAATTAAGGATATTTTAATTGTACGATCTTAAATATGTCGTGAAATGTTGAAATTAAAGAATAACTAAAAAAATAAAAAACACATTTTCGTTGGACATATCTCGTGAAAATAGAGACTCTTTTTAAAAGATACTAACTCAGTGCATTAAACTCAAATACAAGAGAAATAACTAGAAAATAAGTATATCCAGTTATACTAATAAAGAAGTATTGTAAAATCATTTTAAATATAGAAAATAACAACAATAAAATAATATAAAATTATTCTTCTGTTTAATTTATAACTTGTAAATAGCCACAAAAGATCATTTCCCTTTTTTTTTCCCCTTTTGTGTCGTCTTCTTTCAATTTTGACAATAATAACAGAGGTGGAAAAAAGGAGAGGAGAAAGGGCAACTTTGACTTTACATTTATAAATCACTTTTAAAAATTGGAATAGTTAAAAAGTGAACATAAGGGAAAATACCTAGCACTCGCTCATTTATTTTTACCGGTTCAATTTTAATTTTTACTTGTTATTTTAATAAATCAAGAAAGACAATATTTTGTATTTAATTTATTTTAAAAATTAATGTTTTTAAAAAAGATAGAACTTCTTTAATGAGTAAATTAATTTTGTAATTTTATCAATTAATAGAAATAAAATAATAATTTTATTATGCCAATTATTATTTTCTTAACAAATGTATCAAGTCTTGGACGAGTAAATAGGAACATGGAGTATCAATTAGATTTATTAACTTAGCGGACTTGAAATGAGGTATCCAATGTGGTTAATGTTCTTTTGCATAATTATAAAATTGGATAAATGTGGCATTAAATTAATTTGGCGATAAAAAGGAGCACGTCAGCCACATGACTGGTGGTATTAGTTGGCCAATCCAAGCCAGCGACGCGTGAATCGACTGACTACTCGACACGTATTAGCTAAATACATTACGGTGGAAATAATTTATTTAATAATGATACACAATAAACAATGCGCCAGCTCACTCACCTCTCTCCCACCGATCCTTCCTTTCTCTTCCCATATCTTTTTTGCTACTTTTTTTTCTTCGGATATTAGAATTCCGATTAAATTTGAATTACAGATATTAAAACTTATTTTGAAGTGGTGTTTCAATAATATTTTCTCTATATTCAGTAAGAGTGAAATAGTTTTATTATTGAGTCACAATCCATGTTGATATCTCTTTTTGTTTCAATACATGTGACTACTGATTAGGGATTGTTTTGTTCAAGGAATGAGGGATAATAATTTTGAGATAACATATTTGATTTTATTTAAATTCTGCATCTGATTAGGTACTAATTAATTTTTGAGATTATTCGTCTTTCCATTCATATTATTATAATATGATAAATTATCTCATATATGAACGAAACTAATTATATATATATCTCAATCCATGGATAATTTTATTTATCACATTCACATATACCAAACGACCCTTAACACCGTTTGGAGGGTTGTTACGGATTGTTTCATAATGTATCATATTGTATTGTATTATTTTAAGGAACACAAAATTTGAATAGGTTGTATCGTTCTCCTTCGTTATGTAATGTCACACATCCATAATTTGAAGGAAAAACCTCAAAAATAGAGTGCATGGTAGAGCTACGTACTATGAAAAGATGGGATAAAATTAAAAGATGAAATAGCATTATTAAATAATAAATAAAGACAAAATGAGAAGAAAATATTAAGATAATGACAGAATCACACTAAATTAGTTGTTACATAAAATGGGTCTTTTCATCGCTACCTAACGATGAGTTCAAACAATACAATGTAATAAAATTTAAATTACATTCAAAACAAACATTATATTTAAACTAACTATACAATACAATACAATGTTTAATGTTTGTATTCAGTTTATATTGTGCAAGCCCTATAAGAGTTGGGTGAGTTGAACATTTGTTCATTGCTTATTCCACATTTAATTTAATTCAAGAAATCTTTATGAGTTAATGTATCTAAATATTAGTCACTCCATTTCTACATTCTCAGAATAAATTTAACCATCCATTTGATACCAATTTGAACCAATACAAACTTAGCAAAAACCATGACATAATGAGAGGGAAAAATTAGTTGGACTTAATTGAGAATACATGTTTTGTCTTTGTTAATTTCACTATCATTATTATTATTTCCCAATTTGTTTTTTGGACATTTTTTTTAGCTATATTAAAGATCCTCGTACCGAAAAAGAAATATAGGGAAAAATTAGTCAAGTTATATATGAGTGATGAATATGTTAAAAGAATTATTTTAAATAAATAAAAAGGCAAATAAGTACTATATATATAAATCACAAGCTGGTTAATAATACGAATTCATTAATGAGTGAGTGGTCTCATTCGAACTAGGGTTCCCTTTATTCAGTGTTTGAAATTTTTTTTGAATCTATTCAAAAAGCATTTAGGAGCTCCTTTTTTTGATACTAGAGGGAAATAGAAGTTATTAGCTTAATAAAATACTACACTGTACAAAACGCAGAAAAAATATTTAAAGTTATTTTTATTTTGTATAATATTAACTTAAAATGAACTTAATTATATGCGTGTTTTCAAGCACCATATTTCTTCACAGACAGAGGTATACAAATAAATAATAATAAAAAACCCAAAAGCAAAAAGAGAAAGAAGTAAGTAAAAAGATATTACATAGATAAAAATATGTCAATTCTATAAATTATATATTAACCTCAACTGAACGTAAAATCTTACGCTTGTTCTAATTAATATTAATGTGTATAAATTAATGAGAAAATATATTTGATCTAATCTACGTAAATGAACAATTAAAAACACACATCTATTTTTCTCTCTAAAATATGAGTCGAAAGTGACTAATAAAATCACTTTATCATAATTTTTTATGATCAACTAAATACGTTATATATTTCAAATGTCGGCATGAAATATATTTACAAATTTAACTATGACGGAGCCACCCCTTTAACTACGAATTCAATAAAATTGAATTGTTCTGATTCAAATCTTATATTTGTATTAAACCATTTCTTCAATAGATATAAATAAATAAAAATAATTATAATTTAAAATTCATAAACTAAAAATATTAGTACGCTACTTGAGAGTTTGAACTCATGCTTCCTTTTCAAATTTGGGTTGAGAGGCCACGTATGATATAACAGAACCCGTATATAGACGATCCAGGTATACAGTATATATAGTAAGTATATAAAAGGGACAAGGGTCTGAAAAATATCTCAACTTTGGTTAAACGATACTAAACTTTCATAAGGACCTATTACCTCCCTAGACTATTTAATACCGTATTTTAAACATATATATTTACTCACATGGACATAAAAAATAATGTAAAATTATAAATAGTAATGTGTCCACGTGGGCACATATATACCTTTAAAATACACTATTAAATAGTTTAGGGGGTAAAAAGTACAGTATTAAATAGTCTAATAGGTTCTCATGAAAGTTTAGTATTGAAACAATAAATCCGATCAAAGTTGGGTATTTTTCAGATTCTTATCCCTATATAAAATATGTATATAAGCTTTATTTAAAGTACGGACACGTGTTGCGTGACGTGGAATGTTGCCTTGGCGCTCCTCCTCTTTCTTCCCCCTTTCTGTTTCTCTCTCTACTATCTTTTGCCCACGCCACACGCCCTTTCTCTCTTCTTTTTTTCAAGTTCCTTTTAGAGAGAGAAAGCATACACAAAGAATGCACAAACACTGAAACTTTTCACTACTAAAATTCGCCTTCTCTTCTACAGTTTTAAGGTATGTCAAATTTCTCTTTCTCACAATTTTTTTTTTTTTTTAGTTGAATAGAGTTTGATCTCTGTAATTCTCCTGAATTTTCTGTGCCGTATCTTTTGACACTTGTTAATTTTCGGGTTCATAAGAAAAAGTTGAGTTGAGATATACTTGTAACTGGAAAACTGGGAGGAGAAGGAAAAAGAGTGACAGAGTGTAGCTGTGAGAAATTAAGAGTTTTAAGAGAATGTTATTGATTTTAGAGTAGTTATGGGGGAATATTGAATTTCGAAACGTAATTTGGAATTCCACCTACTTTTTTATTTGATGGTTACTGGGTGTGATTTGGGTGGTCTGACGGGGATAAATCTGTCATTAAATCATAAATTTTCTTGTAGATTCAAACTTTTGTCATGCTTGCGTCTTTACTCGGTTTCCTAGGTGGGGACTGTGAAGTTACTAATGTGTCCCTTGCCTTTCTTCTTGCTCCTTGGATTATGGGATGTGTGTGAACTTAGCAATATAATGAGTATCCTGCTCTATTGTGGTATTGAACTGAGATTATGGGGTGTAGATCCTGTTTGGAGTTTGAAAGCAAGTTAATTTACCAAGAAAATTACTTCTTTTTTGCCTGTTATTTCAATCCTTGCCTTGTGCTTTTGCCTGGCTCTGGGATGAGGCCTTATGCTACATGGAGGAAATCATCTAAGGGTATTGAGAGGTTAGAATTATATCTTTGGTTGGGGGAGAGAGAGTGGCCTTTGGATATAAACATGATAAAGATTTCACCTTTTCTTTTGTCCGATGATGATTTCACTTTCCATTGCCACAAGTTATGTGGCCAATCAAGAGGGATTAAGTGGAACAGAATTGACGGATCTGGCTAACATTGAACTTGGTAAAATGAAATGGATTTATAATAGGAGAAAAGAATGTCAGAGGTATTTACAGTAATGGCTATATAAGCTACTACATCAAGAAGAGGCTTAAGTTATCAATATTTTCTTACTATCTACTAGTGTGGTTTAACATGTTGTAGCTTATCCTTTCCTTGTTCAACCAGTGGGTGGTATAAACAATTATTTGTAGTTAGTTTTTAAGTCAATGAACTTTACGCTATCACGTGTATACGAATTAATCCTGCATATAATTTCAAGCTCGGATGAACTCAGGAACACCAGTTGACAGATGAGTAAGGTGTTAAAAGTATTAATTATGGGCAACAACATCAATACATACATAATTTGCAAATGGTGTTTTGTGAGGTAAAAATAGTTGAAATTTAAATGGCCGAGTGGGAAAACTATAAATAACGTGTTTAATCTCCAATAAGACTAATTTCACAAGATAACATGCACGGTAATAGTTGGTTGGATTTTAGGTTCCGGAATCCGGAGGACAAATTTTCTCATAGTCATGTCAATTTAGGCCTATGATAACAAAGTCAGCTAATTTCACAGGATATCTTGTACTGCTGCTTATTTAAACTTTTTACTTCTCGTTTTTCGTGGGAGAGGCAGGGAGCTAGTCTCTTCTTCTTATCTTTACTTTATTTAGTAGTCTCACCTAGTATATTCGCATATGATCTTATCCTTCCTTTTTACTATTATATGTTACCTAGTTTGCTTTGTTTATCTTGTTATTCTGCTATCAATATTTCCCTTTCCACCCTGCTTTGATTACACTTCTTTTGGGCCGAGGGTCTTTTGGAAACAACCTCTCTACCCCACAAAAGGCAGTGGTAAGATCTGCATACATTCTAGCCTCCTAGACCCCATAGGGTATGTTTTGTTGTTGTGGTGGTCATAGAAAGCCATCTCTGTTACCTCACATGGAATGGGATAAGATCACATGTGAAGACTGATCTGCAATAAAATATAGTAACTAGTATGCCAGCAGGCAATAAGTTCCGTCCAGTCTCCAGATGTGTGTTTCACGGCATAAGTACTCAAGTCTGTCAATCTTGGAAAAAATTCATGCCAGTGTCTGTTGCTATACTGGTTTCTGATGGTGATGCTATGAATATATTTGCTATGTTGGGTTCTGTCTAATATATTATATTTTCTTTTTACTGTTATAACTTGCAATGGATTAGAGAAAATTCGGAGAATCATATGTTTTCCCAGTATTCTGGCCTACATTCTCTATACCTTAATATATTTTTGAATAAAGTATGGATTACTGTGTGGTCTGTGTATGTTGTGACATTCTGTTTCTCTCTCTTTGACAGGGTTGCTTTTCTGTATTTAGTTGGGACAACACTCTTATCAGTGACTACAAAAGGAAATTCTGATTGCACCTCTAATTTAGTACGACATCTACTTGGTTCCTTATACATGGGAAACAGTGAGGATGGGAAATCCTGTAAGCTTGAGAAACCATCCTCGCCTGCACCGGTAAGCAAATTTGATTATAATTATTGGTTTAGTGCCTGCGAGTCATTTGACTTTCTTGACCCGTGATTGATACGGTCTTTGGCTCCATATGAATCAGTTTAGCCTAGATTTGTGCATATACATGATATATACTCTTCTATTCCTTTTATATGTTGTGAACTGTTTTAGAATTTCATCTCTGACTAGTCGGTTTTTAATCACATTGACAGGACCAGAGCAATCTCCATGTCTATCCGGATTGGGCAGCCATGCAGGTTAATAACTAAATAGTTTAATATTGAAAGTTGTAATGTTTTATGAATTATCGTAAGCGTTTAACTAGTTAATGTTTCAGGCATATTATGGTCCTCGAGTAGCTGTACCTGCATATTTCAATTCAGCAGTTGCACCTGGTCATACCCCCCACCCCTATATGTGGGGGCCACAGGTATTTTCCTGGCAGAAATGTTTCTGTTTTTGTTGTTGAACTATACTAATTGCTTTGCAAGGTAACTTATCCTCGGACTTCAAGTGCTTCATGACTAAATATGGTCCTTTACTCCCACAGCCTATGGTACCACCTTATGGTGCCCCTTATGCAGCAATATATGCTCATGGTGGGGTTTATGCACATCCTGGAGTTCCAATTGTGAGTTTGCTTTCCCAGAGTTCTATTTCTATCTTATATTAAATGTCACAAATGCTCCTTGATTTCTATTATTTTTGGCGAAGTTCTTTAACCTGGAATTTGTGATCAGGGCACTGGTGGAACCATAGTTAGAGCGCTGATATGTGTCAATGTTGCTGAACTTGACACTTAGATATGATATCAGATTTTGTTTAGACTTCAGGGCATTGACTAGCTACTTGGATGGATTGATTTCTTGTATGAACTGCAGACAAGTAACTTGTAGGACAAACTAAACAGTTTTAACAGTTGTATAACTAACTGATTCAGGAATTACCCTTGAAATTAAATAATAATCTTATCAAGTATCTGCGTCATTATAAGCACACTAATCTTTTGGAATGGAAGTTGGGGTATTTTCTATGTCCCTTAAGATGATGATGCAATAGGATCTCGTTTTGGTTGTGTTAGTCAGCTGAAAATTAACACATTGGGAATATGACTTCGTGTTCATCATTTATTGAAGTTTTTGTATAACATTTGAACTACCTTTACTTGTTTCCTTTGTCTTTGGGGAAAATGGGATTTTTTTGGTTCGACTCCTTTAAGTGTTACATTTGTACCTGAGATTACTTCTTTTTTGACAATGCATGTATTCAGCATATGACTGCATATCTGCATAATGTTACACTATTGACAATGTATTGGCTCTCTTACTGATTGTATTTTTGTTTTGTTTTATTTTTTAAAAATAATTTCAGGGATCTCATCCTCCAGGTCATGTGATTGCGACATCTCCTGTTGTCAGCCAAGCCATGGTATGTATGCCAGTTTGTTCTTAAAGCCTTCAGTATATATGAACTTATTTGTTTCCAGAATGGCGTTACGCTGTTGCTGTTAGTCACTGTATGACCCAGGAATTCAATAAAGGCTAAATCACTCTACATTGTGTAGGATGGTGCTTCTTTGAGTTTAGATGCGTCTGCCAAGTCCTTGGGAAATTCTGATCGAGGCTTGATGACTAAACTGAAGGAATTTGAGGGGCTGGCAATGTCACTTGGAAATGGCAGCACTGACAATGTTGAGGGTGGAACAGACAATGGACATTCTCAAAGGTCTGTTAGTTATCATTAGTATTAAAGATCATTTGTGTCACGCGAAAGGAAATCAAAGATCATTTTCTATTGCAAAAAAAAAGTTAAAAGGTCTTGTTCAGTTATTTCAGTGCAATGCTCGACTTTCACAGAATCTGATTATTTTTCAATTCTGGTCTGCATTATGGACAATATTTTGTAATTTTTCTTCTTGAACAAGTTAAACCAACTTTCTGTTTTCGTGTTGTGTCCAGTGGGGAAACTGAAGGTTCAACTGATGGAAGTGACACAAATGGAGCTGGGGTTTGTTCTTTTCTGATGATAAATCTATGCATCTCAATTTAGTAGATTCATTTGCATCGAATGGAAGCAGTGGATACTGATATTCTTCTTCTTGTATTCTAGGTCAGTGAGAGAAGTAAGAAAAGGAGCTGTGAGACAACTCCTGATAACTGTAAGAGTTTAATCTTTCTCAGTTCTTTATCAATTGACAGTGTAGAAGAGGGAAGAAATAGTGAAAGAACTCTGCATCAGGCTGAAATTTCTTTCCAATTTCCAATTGTTTCATACTTGAGTATTTTATGGAGGCTTTTGACTATTTCCATATGCATCAAGCAAAGAAAGTACTTATCTAGTCACGTGACATTGCAGAATGACATAGGGCATTCTTGATTAAAGGTTTGTAGCTTTGATGAATTCAGCGTTTAACCTCTAAAAGAAATGTCTGGGAAGTGATGTTGATCAAACTTCTGGACCTTTTTCTTCTTGATATTTTCACCTACTTCTGGTTTTAGCGTGTATTTGTTATGTTGGGGGACTTATTGTGTATTCATCAACATTGTTTTCCACATTGCGCTATAGATATTAAACCTTTTTTTTATAACTGTCATCTTTTCTGGATTTATATACAAAGTAATTTGCTTGATTTCATTTTCTGATCTGTCAGTTCTTCGATTTTAAACAGCTGGTGATGATAAGAGTCACTCACGAAGATGTCAACCTTCTGGGGAAGTAAATGATGATGGTGAGAAGTCAATCGTTATTGCAGCGAAAATGACGGGAACAGTACTTTCTCCTTGCATGACAACTTTGGAAATGAGAAATCCTGCCAGTGCACATATGAAATCTAGCCCAACTAATGGTTCACCACTCAGCCCTGCACTGCCTAATGAAACCTGGTTACAGGTATATAGCACAAGTACCAGGTGAAATTTTATTTATTTATTTTTTCACAGCGACCTCCACATGTCTGTACGATTCTTCCTGAATTTTCTGAGAATGTTTTTCCCGTCTGAATCTAATTCCTACCATATGTAACTATGTTCAGAATGAGCGTGAGCTGAAGCGGGAGAAAAGGAAACAGTCTAATCGGGAATCTGCAAGGCGATCGAGATTGAGAAAACAGGCAAGAGGGTAGTGTGCATACGGCATATAGAAGCAATGGTTATTGATACATTTATGTAGCCGATGTTTTAAGTATGGCTAATTACCATTCTAATCTCTAAACTGTTCCTTATTTCTCTCTCCCTTCAGGCTGAAGCTGAAGAATTGTCAATACGAGTTCAGGCTTTAACAGGAGAGAACTTGACACTCAGATCCGAGATTAACAAATTAATGGAGAACTCGGAGAAACTGAAGCTAGATAATGCTGCTTTAATGGTATAAGCTTGTCCCATTTCAGATTCTCTTGCAGTTTTTATTGTTATTGTTGAATCATTGCCCTATAGGTTGTGTTTGGAATGTTAATCCTTGTTTGGATTGCACAGGAGAGACTGAAAAATGAAGAGCTAGGACAGACAGAAGAAGTGAGTTTAGGTAAGATTGCTGATAAGAGACTGCAACCTGTAGGCACAGTAAACCTGCTAGCAAGAGTGAACAACTCAGGTTCCTCGGATACAACAAACGAGGAGGGTGAAGTTTATGAGAACAACAGCTCTGGAGCAAAGCTTCATCAACTACTTGATACCAGCCCCAGAAGTGATGCAGTAGCAGCTGGTTGATGAAGGGTACAACCCTTACTTTAATTTGAGATGTTAAAATTTAGTCTGATTGTGTAATTTTGGCGTAATTTTAAGTCCAAAATTACTGCTAACTACGGGAGAGGAACAGCTGAATAGGATTACGGAAGTTACAAGATTTCTAATTTTACCTACCTAATTGTAGTTTACAGGTCAGTAGAACCGATGTGTGCTCTTTTTCACTTGTGAGTTGAATGTGGCTATAATAGCGTATGTAAAGTTTAATGTTCGACACTTGATTGAGGAAATACTATGGAACCGAAATGTTTTGGTTTGGACGATGAAAGTGATTTGATAAATAAATGTAGTATGTTTATGATGTTACTGGTTCCTTAGTTGGACAAACTATTCTTCTTCTCTAACCATCAATAACTAGAAGATTGTAAGACTCTTTTATCTTGCTTAGTATATTCCTATAATGTTAATTCCAATTCCCCCCTTCTTTTTTTCTTCATAATATAAAGTACAGTAATTTGGAATAGGGAGGTGCATTTGCAAAGAGGATGAAGGACTTTGTTCAAGAAGTGTGTTGTACTATGATTACAAATTACGATATTAAAATAATTTAGAGAACATGTATGATTTATGTAGCAAGTCTATGTACTCTGTGAACATGACAGATCTAAACAATTATTTCTTATTTTAGCTAAAGACTAGATCAGGAGTGTGTATTTATATTTTATGGGCCAAAGTTAGAGAAGCACATGGTAAACTATAAAACGCTCCCATGCACCAATTATTTAAAAATATTGGCTTCCGTACCTTTTCCAACTTCTTAATTTTACTATGATTTTGACCTTATTATATATGACAATGATAGATTATATTCTTTCTATGTGATTAATTAATTAACCAATCAAATATTGAATGAGACGTATATATACTTGGGTGTATATATATATATATATATATATATATATATATATATATATATCAAACCCACGTATTTATTTCAATCTGTCCACACGTATAGATGATTCATGTCAAGCCACATATATATGATTGACCAAAAAACTGTTGAACAATCACAAGGATCTAATGTGAGTGTAATATTTGCCATTGAAACTTTAATCCGAATTAGTTGATATTTGCTTATATGGTCTTTTGTAATTAGGGTCGGAGCTAAGGTTCATTCGAATTCTCTTACCTGAATTTATATTCAATTCACTTACAAGAATCCACTTTACTATCATCCATTTTATTTTGAATGAACACAAAAAAGATATAATAACAAAAAAAAATGAATTTTCTTAGGATGAAAATGTGAATTTGAATAATAATATATGGGAGAACTTTGTACGTACAAACTAGCCAAATATATATATATATATATATATATTAATTGGCTAAGTCTTTTTTATTCCCAACGATTAGTGTTTTTTTTAAGAGAGAATTAGCTAGTGGCAAATCGTTCAAAGCTTATCAATTAACTTACTAAATAGGAAAAACTATGATTTAAATGGATAAACGACCATTTGACCTGCGTTTGTTAATTTGGACAAGTTGATATATATATATATATAAAATTCTCTTGACTTCGTGAGTTCATGTACTTATTTATTTATATTTTATTTTTTCAGTGAAAATTCTGCTTTTGCCATTGTTTGTAACCATCATGCATATTGTCCTCTTTTTTTTTTTGGTTTCCCACCTGGTGTTCAGAGCCCACATTGGAGCTCCGACTAAATCCGGATCGCGCTCTGCAGGGCCCATTCGGGAGTGGCGCTCCCAACATGATTTTCTCCATACCCAGGGATCGAACTCGAGACCTCTGATTAAGGGTGAAGCACTCCCACCAGTGCACCACAACCCATGTTGGTATGCATATTGTCCCCTACTCCCCTATGAGTTGTTTTCTTTTCCTTTGGAATTAAAATGCCATTACAACCACTTGAATAGGAAAGAATATCCACAACCTTCAATTTGTCATTTGAAAAATATTTTCGTAGCAAGTGATATAAGTATATTAGCATATTGTAATAGGAAAATCCGAAAAAATGATTGGAACTTTATTTCCTAGTCATAATCCAACGTGTTGTGTGTCAAACATCATGTGTTGTGTATGTGTGTTTTGAGACGTAAGAATTGAAAACTGAAGTTGTGAGTCATTCATAGTGCCAAATGAAAATTTGCTACCTGTAATTATGAGCGCAGCTATTTCTCTTTGACGTTGAGGATTCAATTATTGCATCGTTTGATTCATATACTAGTTATTAATTATTTATTATGCGTGATTGATCGATAATGAGAAGAGTGCTATGTATTGAGTAATAAAGAGATTACTCATATTACACATAATTACTTGAAAATGACATTCTATATCGCATTACTCGCACGCATAAAATAATTCATAAATACCCACGTACTGAATTAATGAGATTTCTTAAAATAATAATTCACCTATTATTAATTACTATCACTAATCAATCAAGCATTATGTCCATAAGTTATATATATATGTCATTATTTTTATACAACCGACTAGATATGTATTGTATTGTGTTATGTCAAAACTTCATTTTAGAAATTAGTTATTTAATTACTACCACCAATCAATCAAACTGCACTACCATAGTTGAACATCTTTTGAGTTAAAAATCAAAGTTGAATGATTTTTTGTGAAAAAGTTCATAGAGTGACTTTTGAGTTAAAAAAACAAAATTGAGTGACTTTCTGTGAAAAAGTTTTATAGTTAAGTGACGGTCAGAGATATTATCTCATTATTTCAATATCACCAATTAATTGCGAAACCTTTGTTAATAATTAATACCCCAGATTTTGGGTCCAGTATTTTTACGTTATTTTATTATATAGACCATTGATAAAAACAAGATCTGTCTAAGTTAAGACGATATTTGAAAAAAATAATCATTCAATGTCCAACCACAAATTAAAGTCAAATTATGAATTATTCAATAGGTACACCGTACACTGTCATATGTCTAGTAATATAGAGTAATAATCCATTACTTAGCTAATTTAAAGTCAAACTTTATGTATATACACTATATAAAAACATATTTTTTAAAGTTTGTATCCATCTTGAACATGGCACAAATCTAAAGAAGTACTATTTCTTATTTCGATGAGGAAACAATAATGTCTGATATTTGATGGGCAAAAGTTGGAGAAGCACATGAGACTCTCATGCACAAGACAACGCACCATATTTTTCAATAAAAAAGATTGCTTCATATATATGCTTGTCTCTATGTCTTTGTGATGATTTCCAACTTCTTTTTTTATAAAAATTAGGTTGTTTGCGTTAATCTGTGCGTATCTTAATTAATTTTATTAAATACTTATTAATATTTCTTATCAGCACGACGTATGTATCAATAATAGCAAAACTAAGATTTTTATCAAGGAATCACATCAAAATATAAAAAAATCAAAGAAATTTAACATATAGTATGAAAGATCTGTTGTTCGTCTTGTATTCCTAAGATACTTAGAACAAAACTTTGAAGAACTTGGTAAGACACAATAAAGTTTAAGAACATTTTTCACAACTAGAAAATTAAAACTAGTAGATAAACTAGAATCAGAAACAGATTAGAAAAAATATACGAAATATTTTTCCTTAAAGAAGAATTGTTGTCAATTTGTGTTTAAAGAATCTTACTGATTCCAACAAACTTTGCAGAAACACGAAGTTACCAAAGTTTAATGAACCAGTGAAGAACAGAAGAACATAAATTAATTCACAAATTTAAAATCTGTAACACATACCAGAATCTGAAAAACAGAAAGAAGATCAAGCCCATTGAATGCACAGTGTCCCCTTAAGGAAAATTATTCCCCCTCTAGTATCCGAGGTTTGATTTGGAATATGTCCTCCCAGGATAGAATGATCTCAATCACCAATGTATTGATACCCAAAACGCTGGTGTCAGCGAGCCACTCAACGGCAGTAAAGTACACTTAGAATCTAGATTTAGTAGTAGAAGAAGAAGTCCAGAAATTCTATATTTAAAATGAGAGGAAATTCCTCAATTTATAGAAAACAAAGGGTAGTGTGAAAAAGTTCTTATTGTGCCTTACCGGAAAGGTCACAAACCTTTGGAAAAGTCACAATCTTTCGGAAAGGTCACCATCTTTCATAAAAGTCATAACTTTTCATAAAAATCACAACTTTTTCATAAAAGTCACAACTCTTCATAAAAGTCGCAACTCTTCATTTTCCATTCAAACCTTTTAAAACCCAACATCTTTATTGATGCTTGTGTGCATACCTACCATATTAAGGTTGCTGGACTAAGTGTCCTCTATCTTGATTCCTTTTTTACTATTGCACTCATTAGTACTTTCTGTTTTATTTATCTATATATTGTTATTTTACAAAACAAGCTTTATCATTAAATATTGAATAACTCTATTTATATAATTATAATATATTTTTTCTTGCTTATGTCAGAAATTAAAGTTTAAAACCTCGCGATTTTCTAACCGATCATTTTTTATTGATTAATATGTAACACCTATATATGATGTTGATGCCCATGAAATTCGAACTTCATTTACTATGATTTTGACTTGCATAAGACAGATGGATAATATTCTTTTTGCTATAATTGATCAATCATTTAATTGAGGCTTGGTTGTACATGAACTTACGTATCTATTTCGCTTTATTCACATACACTACATATTCATGCATGTACTATTACAAAGTTTCTCTTATATTTATCTTTATGTGATGATATAGATGTGGTCACATCAACAACTGGTGTTTGGTATGATCGAAGATATTTTTCGTGATTTATTTTAAAAATTAAGTAATTTTCTCACATTTTTTCATACAATGTTTAATATGTGAGTAACAAAAATTATCTTAAACATATTTATATATAATATTGATAAAATATGATTGTGGAGTGCAGGGCCGTCTTAACCCCTAGGACACTAAAGTCATCGCTTGAGGCCCCATATATTTTGGGGTCCTCATTTTTTAAAAACAATTACTTATATATGTTATTTTAAAAAAAATTATATGTACTATGAGTGTTATGATTTCTACTAAGGAAATTGCATATGAGATGAAAATAAACCTGAATTTCGTCAGAAACAATTTGATGAAAATATGGATAGCGAAATCACAAAGTCCCTTGAAGAATCTTTTAGAGTTAATTGTTTTATATATGTAGAGTAGATCAAACTGTTTTTTCACTTCAAAATAGATTTGAACCAATTGAAGCATATGAAAATACTTTTGATTTCTTAGTTAGTGGTAAAATATTGAGATCACTACATGATCTCATTAAAAAAAATATTTTTTTAACCTTGAACTTTCTTTAACACGTAATAGTTATTCTGATATTGATG